AGAGACTCCACCAGAGGGCTCCAGCTCCGGATCGTGAACCAGCAAGCGATCCTTAGTCATTATAACTTTCAGTCATGAGATGCAATGTACAGATTTTTGGACCTTGTCCCACCGGACTCTAAGCCGGAATTCTCGGCTCTAGTGGATAAAGGCAAGATGATCGCCAGGACGTCGCTGCAAATGGCGTTAGACTTGGCAGACCGCAACGCGAGCGATGTCCTCGGGCATCGCAATGCGCCGTTGCTCATGGCTGCAGGCCTCGGGCCTTCCCAGGGAGGTCCAACAGACAATCCAGGATCTCCCATTCAAGGGGGCCACATTATTTTCAGAAAAAACAGACTCGAGACTCCACAGTTTGAAAGACTCACGAGCCACTCTGAGATCACTGGGGCTGCACATGCCTGCCACCCAACATAGACAATTTAGGCCTCAGCCCAAGACATGACCATACATGGGGCAGTCTAGGCAGGACCGGAACCGCAGGCGACCTAGAAATTAGAACCGCCGTTGCCAACCCCAACCCCTGAACAACCGGGGATCTGGGTCGTCCAGGCAACCACCAGGCCCTATGCAGACCTTTTGAGGATGCTCCCGAGGGCGTTATACCAACCTCCCAACTGGATCCTTCTTTCCCATTTTCGGCACGTCTGTCCCATTTATACCGAGCATGGTCCTAAATCACCTCAGACCGTTGGGTCCTCTGCACAGTAGAAATGGGATATTCTCTCCAATTCTCTTTCTTCCCCTCCCCCCCCTTCCCCTTCCCTCTCAGGGACCCTTCTCATGAGCAACTCCTCATCCAGGAGGTGCAAACCCTCCTATCGGTGGGGGCTGTGGAGGAGGTTCTGCTGGAGCTCAGGGGAAAGGGTTTTTACTCCTGGTATTTCCTAATACCGAAAGCAAAAGGCAGGTCACATACCAATTTTGGACCTGCACAATCTCAAAAGGTTCATGAAGAAACTAAAGTTTCGTATGGTCTCTTAGACCACTATCATCCCGTCCCTGGATCCAGGAGATTGGTCTGCCGCCCTTGACTTGAAGGACACATACTTCCACATTTCAATAATCCTGCCCCACAGGCGCTTCTTAAGGTTCGCAGTTGGGAGTTCCTACTACCAATTCACAGTATTACTGTTTGGCCTATCATTGGCACCTCAGGTGTTCTCCAAATATATGTCGGTTGTGGCCGCTTTTCCGCGGAACAGGCAGGTTCAGGTATTTCCATACCTCGACGGCTGGCTAGTCAAGGGCTGGTCCAGAACACAAGTGGATCAACAGGTCACTCTCATAAGATCCACCTTCAGCACATTGGGCCTCCTCCTAAACACTCAAAAGTCAACGCTCACCCCTACTCAGAGAATAGAGTTCATAGGGGCGGTGCTAGACTTGAGACAGGCCAGAGCGTTCCTACCTCAATCCCGCTTCCAGGCCATTCACGACATCATGCAGGACCTCCGGACCTTACCATGGCAAGGAGTTGCTTAAAACTCCTAGGTCACATGGCATGTTGCATGTATGTAGTGCCACATGCAAGGCTCAGACCTCTCCAAGCTTGGCTGGCATCTGTGTATCACCGAGTAGACACATAGTGGTTACCCTTCCACCGGGGGTTCTCAAGTCTCTTCAATGGTAGCTTGACCCACACTTGGTGTGCGCAGGGGTTGTGTTCTCCAAACCATGGGGTGGGAGGCGCATCTTGGAGAGTACAGAACTCAGGGCCTCTGGTCTCTGGAGGAACTCATGCTTCACATCAATGTGAGGGAGCTCAGGGCAGTCCGACTGGCATGTCTGGCCTTTCGGCCTCTCCTGGAGGGCAAGTGCATATCTGTCCTGACAGACAATACAACAGCGATTGTTTTATATCAACAAACATAGGGGAGCACACTCCTCTCCCCTGTGTCAGGAAGCCCTCAAGCTCTGGGAGTTCTGCATAGCACGCTCCATACTTTTGGAAGCGTCCTATCTTCCACGGTCGCAGAACAAATTAGCCGACCACCCCAGCAGGTCTTTTCACAATCACGAGTGGTCTGTCCACCCAGATGTAATAAGCAGTATCTTCCAGCGGTGGGGAGTTCCCCAGATCAATCTGTTTGCCACAACGGCCAACCGGAAGTGCCTACAATTCTGCCCCTTCCTGAACCACAGCCCGGATTCATTGGCAGACATGTTTCTGCTTCCAGAATAATAGATAATATCCTCATATTCGGCGCTTGAGACCTTAACTTGGTACTCTTGAGGCTGATGGGGCCTTGTTCGAGCCCCATGACATGTTTACCTCTCTACCTCTCCTATAAGGCGGCCTTTGGTTGCAATAACATCAGCCAGAAGGGTGTTGGAGCTCAAGGCTCTCGCATCTGACCCTCCATAGACCATGCTTTACAAAGATAAGGTGCAACTGCGACCTCACCTGGCGTTCCTCCCAAAGGTGGTCTCGAATTTCTACACCGACCAAGACCTATTCCTTCCAGTCTTTTTCCCGAAACCCCATGCCAATAGCTGTGAGCAGAGGCTCCGCTCCCTGGATGTGCCACGTGCACTAGCATTTTATATTGAACTAAGCCATTCCGCAAGTCAAACCAGCTGTTTGTTGCGGTGGCAGACAGGATGAAAGGCCTCCCAGTGTCCACACAAAGGATATCATTGTGGATCACATCCTGTATCTGGGTTTGTTACGATCTTGCAAAGGTCCCTGCCCCCACTCTGACTGCGCACTCCACCAGAGCTCAGGCATCTTCAGCAGCCTTCCTGGCCCAGGCACCGATCCAGGAGATATATAGAGCGGCTACATGGTCCTCGGTCTACACCTTCACTTCCCGTTATGCCATCACCCAGCACACCAGGAACAACGCACTGTTCGGCAGGGCTGTGCTTCAGTCAGCGATTCTATGAACTCCGACCCTACCTCCTTGGTAAGGCTTGAGAGTCACCTAATTCGAATCAGTATGAGCAAGCACTCAAAGAAGAAATGGTTACTCCCCTTCTCCTGTTTGTTGTTCTTCGAGATGTGTTGCTCATATCCATTCCAAACCCACCTTCCTTCCCCTCTGTCAGAGTATCCGGCAAGAAGGAACTGGAGAGGCGGCGGGTCGGCGAGGCCCTATATGCGGCGCCATGAAGGCACAACTCCAGGGGGCTCCAGAGCTGACCCGACAGATGCTGCTAAGGGAAAAACCTTCTGGCAAACTGTGTATGTGTCGTGCACACACCTAATTGGAATGGATATGAGCAACACATCTCGAAGAACAACAGTTACGAGAAGGGGAGTATCTGTTTCTTCTCTACATCCAAAAGAGTCTCATCTTCCTCCTCAAAGGGGCGGCACTCCATCTGGTATCGGGGCAGCACGTCCGGGTCTTCGGCAGCAATTCGACGGCGGTTCCCTCATTCCCTCTCTTCCTCTTTGTGCTGCCAACAAGTTGCCACCGAAGAGGAAGAGAGGGAGGACCCGCCGCCAAACTGCCGCCAAAGAAGTGGCGCAAATGAGCTGCTGCCGAAGTGCCGCCGTTCGTGGTGTGTGTGGGTTGTTTTTGTTTTTGTTTTTGTTGTTTTTTTGCGCCGCTTGGGGCGGCAGAAAAGCTGGAGCCGGCCCTGTCTCCCTGATATGGTGCCATAAACTCTTGTCTCAGTAACATCAACACCAGAACCGTCCATGTGGCGGCCGTTGAGTCTGGCGCAGATGGACGTCATGAGAACGGCCATACTGGGTGCAAACCAATAGACCATCTGGCCCAATATCCTGGCTTCTGACAGTGGCAGGTGCCACCTGCTTCATAGGGAGTGAATAGAACAGGGCAATTATTGAGTGATCCATCTCTTGTCATGCAGTCCCAGATTCTGTCAGTGAGAGGTTTAGGGACACCCAGACCATGGGATTGCATCACTGACCATCTTGGCTAATAGCCATTGATGGATCTATTGTACATGAACTTACCTAGCTCTTTCTTAAACCCAGGTACACAACATCCCCTGGCAACGAGTTCCACAGGTTGACACTGCATTGTGTGAAGAAGTAGTTCCTTATGTTTCTTCTAAACATGCTGCTTATTAATTTCATTGGGTGATCTCTGGTTCTTGTGTTGTGTACACTTTCTCCACACCATTCATGATTTTATAGACCTCTCACATATTCCCCCTTAGTCGCCTCTTCTAAGCTAAACAGTCCCAGTCTTTTTACACTCTCCTCATACGGAAGCTGTTCCATACTCCTCCTCATTTTTGTTGTCCTTCCCTGTACTTTTTCATATTCTAATATAATTTTTGAGATGGGGCAACCAGCACTACATACAGTATTCAAGGTGTGGGCATACCATGATTTTTATAGTGCAGCTGCACATTGACTGAATGTTTTCAGCCATTAAATTATCTGTTACCACTTGGAGTCATTGTGGAGAGTTCTCTGAAAACATCCACTCAATGTGCAGCGGCCGTCAAAAAAGCGAACAGAATGTTGGGAACCACTAGGAAAGGGATAGATAATAAGACAGAAAATATAATGTATATGTGTGGCAGATGAACACTTTGAATACTGCATGCAATTCTGGTTGCACCACCCCAAAAAAGATATTAGATTTGGAAAAAGAACAAAAAAGGACAACCAAAATGCTGAGGGGTATGGAACAGCTTCCATATGAGGAGAGATTAAAAAGACTGGGACTGTTTAGCTTAGAAGAGGCGACTAAGGGGGAATATGAGAGAGGTCTATAAAATCATGAATGGTGTGGAGAAAGTGAATAAGGAAAAGTTATTTACCCCTTCTTATAACAGAAGAACCAGAGGTAACTTACTGAAATGAATAGGCAGCAGGTTTAAAACAAACAAAAGGAAGTATTTCTTCACACAGCACAGTCCATCTGTGGACACGTTGCAGGGGATTTTGTGAAGGCCAAAAGTATAACTGGGTTCAAAAAAATTAGATTGCTATTGATGGACCAATTCTCTATGAAGTTATTAGCCAAGATGGTGTAGGACACAACCCTAACCTTCTGACTGCCAGAAGCTGGAACTTGACAAAAGGAGATGGATCACTCGATAATTGCCTTGTTTTGTTTATTCCCTCTGAAGCATCTGGCACCAGAAACTGTCAGAAGATAGGATACTGGGCTAGATGGACCATTGGACTTGACCCAGTCTGGCCATTTGTATGTCCTTAGCGGTGAAGGAAGCATTGGCTTGTACTTGGACAGAACCAAGCCTGTTAGACAGTCTTCTAGGCTTTTTGTTTCTTGTGCGGATGAGATGAAGGGTCAAGCAGTCTCAGCTCAACAATCTCCAGATGGGTTATTTTGTTTATTAAAACTGCATATTATGTAGCCAGCTCTCCTTCTGCTCAGATGCTCTCAACCCCCTCAAGGAAGGTGCAAGTGACATCTATAGCATTTCTGAACAATGTTCCCATTCAGGACATTTGTAGGGTGGCTACTTGGTCTCCTGTACGTACCTTTACTCATCACTATGCCATCACCACTGTTTCCAGGTCAGATGCGAACTTTGGAAAGAAGTGCTGAAATCACTATTGAAATAGACTGAACCCACCATCCACAACACTGCTTATGAGTCACCTGAGTGGAATACACGTCTGCATCCACCTAGTGAAGACAGAACAGTTATTTACCTGTTTGTAACTGTTTTTTTTTGAGATGGGGATGTAGATGTGTATTCCACAACCCACCCGCTGTCCCCTCTGCATGGGAGTCTTAGGCCATTCTTCCAGTGCAGAGGAACAGGGGGTCAGGGCGCCACCACCCTAATGTCACCTGGAGAGTGGACATGAAGAGTTGTAGGGTGCATGCACCACCCTGAGGGATGCTGCTGCAAAAGACTTCTGTCTCTGGCACACTGCGCATGCACACGCCTGTGTGGAATACATGTCTGCACCCATATCTCGAAGAGCAGCGGTTACAAACATGTAGTATCCATTCGATCATAGTCCTCTTCATACCATTTTTTCACATATTTGAAGACTTATCATGTTACCCTTCAATCCTCTCTCTCCTCTAGATTAATCATACCCATTTCTTTCAGCCTTTCCTCATAAATAAAATGCCCTGCAGTGATTAGGTTCAGGGGTACTGTCAAGAGGAGCAGCCCTCATTGCCAGACTGGCACCCT